AGCTTTAGTATTAGCTTCAAATTATAAAATACTCACAGTGCAGAGGCGCAGCGTTCGATTCCGGCTCCGGCCTTCCTGTGTGGAGTTTGCATGTTGCATGTTCTCCCCCCGGGCCTGCGTGGGTTTTCTCCGGGTACTCCGGTTTCCTCCCACATTCCCAAAACACACATGGCAAGTTAATGGAACACTCAAAAATTGTCCCGGGGTGTGAGTGTGTGCGCGCAGATGGTTGTCTGTCTATGTGTGCCCTGGCAACCGGTTCAGGGTGTCCCCCGCCGACTGCCCGAAGACACCTGGGATCGGCTACGACACGCCCGTGACCCTTGTGAGGATAACATTTGCTTCGTTGAGATGGGCGTGGACCAAGAGGAGGTGGCGGGGGTGGGGGGTGGCCCTGTTGGCTGTTTTCTTTCTAGGTCAAATACGAAGGACTTTTTTAACCCAGACAGGGTTAAACATTCCAGGCTGCGGAACTGGAAGGGCTTCAGTGGCGTGCTGGGCTTTGGTCTGCAGGCTGGCTGGCTTTGGCACAGTAGACAGCTGCACCACGGAGATTCTGGACAAGAGAGAGCACTTATTGTACAAGCAGAGCAAACACACACACACACACACACACACACACACACACACACACACACACACACACACACACACACACACACACACACACACACACACACACGCACAAGATATTTTTATACACTGTACATGTGTACTCGGTAGTTGTTTTGCAGTGGATCGTGTAATGGACATGTTTTTACATGTATTTCTTCAGTAAATTTTGGTGTCGCACTCTATAGGATTGTGCTTGATAAAAAAAATGTGCAGCAATAATAGCAAAGAATGTAAAGATTAAAACAGTTTGCGCACCCTGATATCGTGCATCAGAGTCCATTGATATTGTGCCACTCCTCCTAATGTGCCCGAATTAGCCACCAGGTGGCAGTATCATTGTAGAACGAGTACACAAAGAAGAGAGTCTCTTCTCAGCTCAGTAAGCTGCAGTAATCGCATCAGTCATTTTCCACGAAGGGTAAAAGGATGCCGGTGAAAATGTGTCTGTCTGTTGCTGAGCCGTT